CACCCGGGAGCTGTGATCCCGATCCCAAGGCTTGGCTCATCCCGGATTTTGGGGGGGTCGCTGGGACGTGGGGGCTGCCAACCCACTCTCCAGGGTGAACTGACACCAGCACCAGCCAACTTCTACCAGGGTGAGAGCTCGGGCCTTTGGTTTTCAGCGCTGTTAGCACCTAGCGCTCACACCTACGTGGTCTGAGCCCAATGGGTCAAAACGGCTGCCATGCTTTGAGGAGGGCTTGGGGGGGCCGGGGTCTGGACCCCCACCAGCGGCAAATAGTCTTTTATCTGCCAAAAGCGTTCCTTTTCCTGGTCGGGAGGAGAAGTGTTCAGCCGAAAAGTGTGTCTCCGCTCCTTCCCGCGCCCCTGCCCACACTTACAAGTTCTGGCTGACTTTAGTTTTGTTTTTTAAAGATTTTTTTTTTTGTTACAAATAAAAATAAAACAAAAAAGAAAGTGGCAATATTTTTTTCCGTAAGCTTTTCCTAGGAAAAAGCGTGGTTTGTAACAAAGTTGTACAGTTCTGAAGTTTGAAATACGAGAAGTACTGTGTGAAATGCTGTAAATGGGGCAGAGATTATTTTATGTACAGTCTGACGCTGGGGGAATCTTTTAATTCTGGTTGATTCTTAGGAAGAATTTGGTTCTTCGCTGTCAGGGTTTGGAATTTCATGGTTTCATTATTATTATTTTTTTTTTTCTTGTATAGATTGCTGCATTAATTGAATAAAAGCAGAAAGCATCGCTTTGCCTGCCTGTGTGGTGGTGCCAGCGCCTGGGATGTGTGCCTTGCTTCTCCGCTGGCAGAAACGAGGTTGCAGGAAGAGGAGAACTGCTTCTAAATAAAGGGAGTCTCCAGCTCCCCAGGGACGGGGTGGCCAAATGCAGTGTCTGTCCCTCCTGTGCTGCCCTAGAAAGCAGGGATGGGGCTCACTGCCCTTCCCCTCCTCCTCTTCTCCATACCTGGGGAGCAAATGTGGACGTTGTCCCCCCCAGCTCCCACCCAGGCTTGCTGCAGGCACTGCCTGGTCCTCAGATGGCCCCAGCAACCCATGAGGGCTGCACCCCAGTGCTTCGGCCTCACATGGAGTCCCTCACCCTCCCTGCCCTGCACCTTCCTCCTGCAAGAGGGAGATGGTGGCGGATGGGTGTGTGCTGCTAAAGAGGCGAAGGGATGGCTGGATGGGGTCTGCGGGCCTCACGTGGCGGCTGCCTTCCTCCTCCTCCTCTGTGATGAGCTCCTGCCTGGTCTGGCGATGTCCTCTCCAT